GACAGCAACTTGTCTGTTCCCCTTCCCCCAATTCCCCAGCGCTGTTCCCATCCCCCCAATGCCCCAATAAAAATCTTAAAAAAAAAGAATTCCTCACGGCACCAGGCAAACAAAGAGGGATGTCCATATGTCAGTGGGAGCCAGTGGGGAGCCCTGATTGCCTAGAGGCCTCTTAAATGGAGAAAAGGAGGAATAAAGTGCATCAGTGGCAGAGTAAGTACAGAGAGTCAGAAAGTACACATTGTCTCCCAGCTGCTGTCAGCCCTCACTCCCCTTCTCTGCCATCACCATTTTGTTTGGCTCACTCCTGTCACTTGGCAGTCACAGCTATTTCAAAGTGAATCTGCACTCAGCCATCCTTCATTGGAAGCACTCAGTCTCTCAGAGGAGGAAAGGAGTTCCATCTGGGTGCACCTCCATTTGCTAACAGCATTTGTCAGGCTTCCAGTGCACTTGGGAGCCAGCGGTCACCTTTAGAGGAGTTCGGAGGACCACACTGATTGGGTGGTTATTGTTTTTGTTGTGCATGTGTATTGTTTGCTTGCTTGTTCTGCCAAGTGTGGTTATAAAAGAGTATCGACTAAGCCAGGTTGTCAGGTTACTAATAATAATTACCATTTACTGGATTCCTACCATGTGTCTGGCAATATGCTAGGGCTTAACATACATCATCTCTAATCCTCACAACAGCCTTGTAAAGTATATAATACCTTCATTTTACAGATGAGAAACTGCTCAGAAGTGAAGGAATTTGCTTAATGCGACAATCCCTAAGTCCTTACTATTACCCTGCATCATTATTATTTAACATTACCTTATATTTGCATAGTGAGTATTGTTCTTTTATTTATTTGTTTATTTATTTATTTATTTATTTTACCTGAGCCATCCTGCCACCTGTTGGCAGCTCAGCTCGGGCAGGACTCGAACCGCTGTTGCTCAGAGCTCACACCCTTGAGCGAGCTCTTAACCAACTGAGCCACTCAGCCGGCCCTATAGTGAGTATTGTTTACTCACCAATTAGTTCAGCTTAGGTTCCTTCA